TGCGTGTACAAACCGTGACGGGGACATTATCACTTCAGTGTGTCGTTCCATTAAAAAGAAACACTGTATTTCGCATTTTTGTTATATTAATATTTTCTGCAATTTGTAAGAAAATTGCACTCTTATCAAACATAATGCACCAAAGACCTTAATTTGCCAGAAAAGTGCATAATAAGAAATTGAAATTATTCTAAACTTTTCAAAGATTGAAATTTAAAAGAACTTAAGGGTGTACGAACTGTAACATTATATAAATCCATATGTTTTATTATAAAAAAAATAACAATTATATAATACCTGTAAGAAAATTATAAGAATTGTATTCTTATCAAATATAATGCAATGTACAATGTTGCAACGTTTCTATACTGCAAACTTTTGTGCTATATGGGATTTTATATATATATATATATATATATAAAATATATATATTACATGTGGAGTAATACGAAACATAGGTATGTATAGTGATAAGAAAATACAAATATAAATATATTTTTTAAATGAATATAATGCAAATTTTGAAAGAAACTTTTAAGCTTAATTCAAAGCTTTCCGCGAACGACTCGTTCATAAATCACGGATTTCGGAAGGCGTCTGGTCTAATGATCTAACGTTTAATATTTCAAACCCGAGATTATCTCAGATATGGGCCGGATGATCAGTAAATCGAACGATCGCATTTACGCACTTCCAACATATCCATGTGTTACGTGTCGGCACGCTGATGTAACACTGTCAGCACCAGTTCCGTATACATTATTTCTGATACTGTCCGATCGATTGTACGTAAAAACGAGTGCTATACCGGTAGAATATTTGATAGAACTATCAAGACCACTTTTATATCGAACACTTGATAAAGTGGTGGTAAATATTTAGACAAGGTCAAGTGACCATGATCTTGACATAGTCTGTCAAGGTTACCCTCCTGAGGTCACCTCCCTTCGGTTTTAGTCGTCGCTCGTTTTTTTATTAAAAAGCTATTAACAAAATTAATTATAAGTAGCAATGGCTCGTATGACAAAATAAAAAAATAAGGGGCTCAGAACCAGAACAAGATGTTAGTGTTCAATTAATATTTAATAATATACAGGGTGTACTAAAACCACCGGAGGTCCTCTTAATGACAGATTCCTTAGAACATTTCCAGACGAAAATCCTAATACAAAAGTGTCGAGGCTATAATAGTTTTTAAATTAGAAGCGATTATTTTCCACAAATGATAGGGCTGAAATTTGGCGCGCTCAGGCACGGCGAAATGACAAGTGATATAAGTGCTCCTATGAATATCGCTCTTTTTATGATGTTATGTTTATTGTATAAATTTCATAGACTTATACTCATAGACTGCGCCGTCTTGTGAACGGCTTGAAGTTAACACAAGACGCAGAGGGCAATAGCGCTAGAGAACCTCTGTTTTTCTAATTTGTCAGTTGGTGGGAAAATCAGGGGAAAAGTGTCATCGCCCGTCCCTCGCGCCTTCTCAGACTTTTTCCGGGCGCACAAATACATATATATAACCTCCCCTATCTTCACTCTGCAGATGCTTTATCCCCTCTTTTGCCACTTCATGAGAGAAAAAGATTTTCTAGCGCTGTATCTATGTCCTTCGGTGTTATCTTCAAGCCGTCCACAAGACGGCGCAGTCTATGAATATAAGTCTATGATAAATTTACAATATCACTTGTCATTTCGCCGTGCCTGAGCGCGCGAAATTTCAGTCCTATCATTTGTGGAAAAAAATCGCTTCTAATTTAAAAACTATTATAGCCTCGACATTTTTGTATTAAGATTTTCGTCTGAAAATGTTCTAAGGAATCTGTCATTAAGAGGACCTTCGGTGGTTTTAGTACAGCCTGTATATATACAGGGTGTTATGTAATACCCGCATCAACGCTTATTGTGGGATAGAGTGGACTAGACTAAGTTGAAAAGTCCTGTACCACTTTGCAGGTTTTGTAATAGTTAACGAGTTATTAATTATTAAAAATCGCTGTCTTAGGCCGGCCCACTGCCCAATTCAAACGTGCGACGAGATCGATCGATCGTTACTAGGCACGCGGAGAGTTGTTTATTACAAGCGGCAATGGCGAGCGACGCGTCACGCTGAACCGCCACCGTGCATTTCTGACACACACAGCCCCGCGCCCTTCTTTAATAACAATAAAACTTTAATAAAATCATTAAAAACATTTTTTTAACTTAAGTATGTTATACGTGCATAGAAAAATATCAATTTTGCTTAAAAGGACGATTACTCAGTTTACTTTTTTCTTTTACTAAGTAACGATTGTCTTTACAAAGAATATTTGTAACATGTACATTTTTAGACCATTATCAAGAAAAAATATTCTTTGTTAAAGGTCCTTAACGGACCATCCTCAGTATATCGAAGAGAACAATAATCAATCCATAAATAAGCTCATAGTATTAATATAAACTTTAAAAAATGTATACGCAGTCGATTGGATAAAAGTATAATAAATAAAGGGACATACATATTAGACGATAGCGCAGTCAAACCGAATAAAATGTATAATATAAACCAACGCAAGTTGTATAAGTAAACGCAAATAAATTAGACGTATTACGTTGACAGAAAGCTGTAACAATCGAAGTACATAAACTATTGTAATATAATAAGTTAGTGCCATACAAAGGAAAAGAAGAAAGGTATGTACTCACATATAGACATGTTGAACTGTGATGTTAACATAGTGACGGATAGCGGATATATGCTGGATATAAAATAAGTCGTTGAAGGAAGAGAAGGGATGGCACTAGGGAGGAGGAGAGGGGGTGCTAGGATTATTATGAAGTGGGGAGCACATTGCTCACACAAAATCTAGAATCTTACGCATTCAATTTATTAAGTCATGCATAAGACTTGGTCTCATTCCCCCACATTTAAAAGTTTTAGACCACGAAATACACTTATACCAGGTACAATATCAGCGACTTTATAAAAATTTTATCCGCACACAGATAAATAAAATTCTAAGGATAGAATTAGACGATGCCTATAAACATTCACGTTGGACGACAAACATGTTATTTCAAAAATCAAAACAATTGCCAAGGTTAGTGCCTCTTCCTA